TAAAAAATGTATTTCAAGAAAGACTTTAAAATAAACACCGAAAACCAATACACGTCAGGTATGCATGGCAATAACAACATATTTTAATACTAAATACTGTATTTTTAACTAAAAATACTAATACTAATCTCTCATAAAAAAAATTATAATTATAATTATAATATAAAACTTAAAAAGCACATGCTGATCATTGTGCTGTTGTAGTAACATTTTAATAACTGAACTCATGAAATAAAATATTTTTCTTCTGCTCCATACACAGCATTTAAAGTTACTTTATTTTATTGAATCCAATGTAAGCATTTAAGATTTAACCAGTTCAGAATTACAGTGTTTGCAATAGTTGTGCACAAAATACTATATTTTATTGGTAGTTTTAACAGGAATAATAAATAAGGATCACATCCAACAAAAACACAGTATTTCAAAATAAATCTGATGTCGGGCGCAGTGTAATTACAGAAATGTATATTTTTGATGCATCGTTTCTGAAATAAGCTCTGTGCAGATATGTATTTTTTAACCTCATACTCAACATTTGTATGCCTTCACGACCAGGGATTATAAATATATTATGCAGATATAGTATCGGCGTAGAAAACGAAAGGGGAGTGAATCGTTTTTCTTTTTATACGACAGATATTTTGTTTGTTATTTTGAGTATGTGTGTAAAATTTGTCACCGTGTGTAGCTTATCCGTATAAAACAGATACACCGTTATTACTGTTTTATCGGTAAACAGAACAGCAAAATATCAATGAATAAAATTACCATCGTCAATATTATTTTCTTAAAGAATATAACGAGGAAGGGTAAAATAATTGAAAGGTTCGGAGACAACAGGATTAAGACAATGTCGTTTTTCAAAAATTAAATATGACTGTTTATTTACAGTAAATATAAAATTCAAATAAAAATATTTATGGGGGTATATAAATTAAAATTATGGTCGGTTTTTAATAAATGTGCATACCATAAATAAAATATCAAAAAATATTTTTTATGCAACCAAACTATTATCTTATGTACACATACCTCATATTTGTATACTCATTTATATAAGTAACATAGTATAATTATCAGTACCACCTGGTAAATATGTAGGTACATTCATGTAGGTACCATTTTTACTAAAATTCTTCTGCCTTCTTGTCATAAAGAACTTTTAATATATTAAAATATTTCATTGAATATTATCTAATAAACAATTTGGACCACATATTAAGTGTGGTAAATAAAAGGTCAATAATTAATTTCAAAAACATTCCATCTTACAATAACAATACAATGTATTGCATTGTATGCAATTATTATAACAATCATTGTTAGTTCAAAATGTGATTTTTGTACTTTATATTGTTTATACAAGTATTAGGTAGGTATTATTACACACATATTTAATCAAGTCATAAAATACAAAATTCAAAAACATAATTCATAGATTCATTGTTGAATCAAATAAAATGTTGAAATAAAAAATTAACGGGAAAATGTTAAATAATCGAAAGTGAAATTGTCTTTAGATTAACGTATAAATGTACACAACTTATGAATTACAATCGAAAAAAAAACTGTCATCACTAATATGTAAATGAACACGAACAGTATAGTAATCATTTGATTTGATTTGACAAAAAATAAAAAAATAAAATATTTAAGTTGAGATTTAAAATGCAATATACATTATACACCACACATTTTTTTCTCTATTTCATTCGCTACATTTATTTCCGTTTTATTGCAGATTTTAATCTTCTTTTATAAAAAACCAAAAAAAATTTTTTCTAGACATCAAATAAAAAATATGTGGGTGTTCTTGTGTGTGTGTGTGCATGCGTGCGTGTGTGTGTGTGTATTTGATCTGAGAAGCACACTATAATATGGCACTGAAGAACGACACCCGAGGTCTGCAAACATGCCGATGACAAAGATTGAACACGCTTCGCTGGAGATAATATTTAATCTTACAAACTCTTGAATCAGTTCTTTCGGCGACATATTACACAACAATATGGAAATCCATGTACGGAAATATACTTTTATTTTTCTTGTTAATCAGTTGTCGTTGCAAAATAGTTTTAATTAACAGATTTTGTAAACAAGAGCTTTTATTATAATAAAAACGGTATAAGTAAACTATTCCATATTGATTTCAAATTAACATTAAAACATCTACCTATTGAATTTAATACTTACCTGTAGATTTTTTAGAAATGTGGTAGGGAAGTTATAATATTACTGTGTACCTATACGCACATTTTTTGAATGGACTATAATTGAAAAATAATAAATGCATTTAAAATTTGTTGTAACATTTATTATATAAAACACGTTTATTTTTAAAAACTAAATTACTAATTGTATTTACAATATATCCCTTGAATTATGTATAAATAATAAATATATAAATGGTAAATGGTAAATACGTAACGCACGTATTTATTATGATATATTAAATATGAGGTATTAATTATATAGAATTATGATATGTGCAACTAAATTTATTGAACTTTATACAATTGTAAAATATGGAAACAAATTTCATGAGACATAAATTTCTTTTTACTACTATTCAATTATTATTTGAATAAGTCATTGTTATTGTGTACACCTAAAACAATAACTTGTTGAAATATATTATATTTTTACAAATTCTCTGTAAATTATGACCTAAGTATATTGTACAATACATTTGTTATATTACCTCTCTCACAATGTTATTTACAATAACAAGGATGTTCTTATTGACTTAACTGTTTTGATACTATAATCGATATTATGTGATGAATAAAATATCTCATTTAAACGAATAGTTGGTTTTTCTAAAATAATAAAATTATAATATTATGTGCATAAATGGACCGGGTACCTACGGGCATTGAATAGATTGGTGAACCTTAACAATGCACCATACCGTATGGTAATAATTTTAGCTCTGAATATATAGCATAGATTATTCCATGATTATAGTGTCTCGTTGTTATCTTAAGACGTTTACGGAAGCATCGCAGAATAATAAATTTCAACACGCTTGGTGCGAAGAACAAGCCACACAAGCCCCGAGGACGTGCGACACAGTATAAGTCTTAGACTCTTAGTGTAAGGATATTTTTCTACAGTCAAACGACTCACGGTAGTCGCTCTATCAACTATATAACTATATAGTATATAACAGTATACTTTAACCGGCAATAGAAATATAATATACACAATGTTTAAAGTTTAAACATCAATGCGATTAGTTGCTATTTTATTCAAGTGGTACTTAGTTTTTCATGTTCCATATTTTATGTATTCGTATAAAAATTAATTCACAGATATTCTTTAAATAATAATTTATACGTGTATTATTAAGTATATGTATTTAATAATACATTTTATGTTTGGTAAAGTTATTGAGTAAAAAAAAAAACCATTATGAAAACACTAAAGTTAAACGTATAATATAGCAAACCAATAATATTATGCAAATATATACAATATGCGTTTACGAATAGTTATTAAGAGGAAACGTTCCATACATCAACCAATTTGATAAAAACCGTTTCACACAAGAAAGAACCAGTCGGTCTCAGTATCAGTTTTGTAAGAACTTGAACTTGAGTGATGGTGTATTTAAGACCACAGAACAAAAGTATAATCAAACAATTGTTTTCGTCGCCTTGCCAAAACTGTACTGACACACTTACATATTTTTATTCTTGTTAGTTTTAAAAATGTTGCTATATTTTATTGTCAATGTTTAATACTTATTGTCATGTATAATTATTACTCAACACTTAATTATATATAATGAATTAACCAGCTTTTAAGGGGTCGTTGGGTGACCTCCTTCAAAACCACCATTGCTCGGCCTAATATTATAGTCCTGGTAACAAAAATGGCCAGAAATCAAATGTTAACCATTCAAAGATGAAAGCATTTTCTGAGTAATAATATTTTTTTTTTTTTTATTAGATGGTGTTGAAAGGAGAAAAATTATAATGTTGAACAGACACTTTCCCTTATTTTGAAGGTGAATATTTGGTAGCTCAACTATGAATTTCTGTAGTCTTCTCGTTTCTTTCCCGGGTGATATAGTTTTTCTATATGATCTCGTAACTATTCTACAACCTATAATGGTAAGTACTTAAATGAGATCACTTGAAGTTACTTTGGTTAGAATTTTTATATATTTGATATTTACAATTTAAAATGTTTTCAAAATATTATGAAAATTACCTACACTAAACCCTTACAAAAAAGGGTGAGCTGAGTCTCCTTAATAATATATGAAAAATGATTGTAATATTTTTATATAAACCGTTTAAATAAGTAGGTACTTATAAATACAAAAGTATAACATGCGAAGTGCTTTTACAGTTATACCTAAATTGGAAAATCATAGATGTTTTAGATCATTGATACAAAATCGATTCGCCCAAACCTTCAGAATGACACGCTTAGGCGTAATGATGAATTTTTAAAATTCCATCAGAAACTAGTAAATCAGTAAAATATAGTGAAATAGAGTGTATGCACTAAGCACGGTAACACCTAATCAAAAAGCGTGAATAAGCCATATTAATATATTTTCTGGTATCGCACGCCTGTAAAACGAATATATTATTCAAGACTTATAGACAGGTTAATATTAAATTATAATAATTATTATGTGATTGACGATTTTAAATCGCCGTCACTACTACCTATATTGTTTACTCGTACGTTTTCCAAACTGCAGGCCCGTCGCGTCTGGTGGGTGTCATTTCGTAGAGATCATCGAATCGATGGAGAAATTGTGTTCGAGTTTAATGTGATATAACGTGTGATGATACGTGGTAACCCGTGTAGCCGATAAGTACCTACGGTGATAACAATGGAAAAACAACCAGAAAACCCGTACGATACGAGTACATATTTTCCGGAAAGCACATGCGTACGGTGCCGCCCACCGAGTAGGAAGGCACCGACTGAGGCAGCTCGCCGCCCGCTGCTGCCGCCGCCGCTCGCCGTCAGTGCACTCGCCGCAGACCGAACGTCCACACCGTGTATGCCCACACGCGTTGTCGGATAGGTGAAATCTCGTCGGTCCCACGTGCGCGGCCCTCGTATTGTTGTCACTGTCCGTATACTATCACCGGAAGTCCGAACCGCTGTCGCGACCGAACCGGGAAACACCGGTGGCCGGAACTGCCAGTTCACGGGGGATGGGGGTGTCATGGAATTTTAATAATAATACGATTATCATGACGCGTCCGTGCTGCTAGGGAAGTCGTGTGTAGTACACACTCGCCATGCTGATGTTCTGCCAAAGACCGGACCGGTACGTGGTCATCTGGCTGTTTCAGATACTCACCGTCATCTGTGCAGGTAAGTCGAAAACGTATTGGCTACACATGGTATACCGTGGGAGAAGGGGCACTGTACCCCGTAGCCTTTAGGAACCGTGGCTTAAATATAAGGCTATAGACATAAACAACGACCAGATGATTAAGCACATTTTTAAAACGAGTTACTCGTAAATCATAGTCATTGGATAGTAGATGGTAATAAACAATTATGTACTATAATTTAGAAGTTTTAATTTTTAAAGACAAATTTTCAAAAACATTGGCTCATGTCTAAAAAATAAAAATGAAGTTATTTTGTAATATTTTTACTTCACAAATACAAAATAAAACATTTTATTTAATTAGGTACTTTAAGTTATCAAACATTTGAATTATATAAAAAATAAATTACACGCATTCACTAAATGCAATGTCTTAATATGATTGAAAAAAAAACACCTTTGATGTTGACAATCAATTAATATTCACCATTGGTGTCAATTATTAAATGTAAAATTTCAGGTACGTTTTTCGTTAAATGTTTAATTATAGCTGCTAGACCCTAAATTAAAAACAAAATAAATATAATACAAATTAGAAACAACTTACAATGTTTAAATCAATCATAGGCCGATTAGATATTTGGTTAAGTTCAAGACCCATTAATTATTAAAATATGGAATAATAAAATTATTTTTTTAATAATTTGAATAAGGAATATTGATTAATGTATACATTAATATGTACGATTTAATTCATGAGATTATTCTTACCTATAGGTACTACTACTTAAAAAAGTTTATTTTTATCATTTTAATGTATATTATATAAGCATATAATTTGTAACATGGCGGGTAAAAAATATGTCTATAAATTATCATTGTTTTCATTAGCTTATAAACATGATCGTAGTATTGATAGTTTCTAATACTTCAACCAAAGGCGCAATTAATCCAGAAAATTAACCAGAAAAATAATACAGAGTTATTTTCTCAAAAAATATAGGTATTAATTTCAAACACTATCAATTTTGATTTTTAAAATATTATTAGGTATTATTTGTTTAAATATCGGTTTACCTTATAATAGCTATTTCAAATTTGTATAATATTATGTTGTGTTTATTCGGAGATTCGTGTTTGCTCATCCGTTGATCATAGAATAAAACATATTGGATCGTTACCTAAAGCTTAACTAAGATATAAGCAATTAATTATTTAAAAATGTAGAATATAATAATTTGGTATGAGTTTTTCATATTTGGATAATATATTTTTTCTAATTAAAAAAAAAGAAAATTAAAAATCTTTATTTGATATTTGCCTATTTTTGTAAGTATGTTAACAATCTGAATCTTGGTGGAAATAATTATTTTCAAGAATAATAATCCGTAGTTGATTTTGAAGTCTAATTTATACAATTTATAATTTTAAAAAGTTTAACAGCATAATATGTTAAATATTGTTTTTACCATGTTCAAAAAATTTAAAAATGTCGAAAATAAATTTTTAACTCAAATATTGGTAAAAAAACATAAAATAGTATTAAAATTATACAGCATTATAATTATTTTACGATAAATATAAGTATACATATACGATTGTTAATAAACCTATTAAATATACTTCCAACTCAAGCGAAATTACGCTAGGTATTTGTTCTAACTAAGTTAAACTACAAATTCCAAAATTCTTGAATAACTATGATAGGGGTACTATAGATTTATAGTAATAATTATCACAATTAAAATTTAAGCTGCATTCATTTTTCAATTATTTTCCACTGTTATATTGTGTACCAATGTAAATTATTATTAAGTTAAAATAATGTTCTTAAAAATGTCATAACCTATTTTTAATGTAATTATACTTAAAATAATTAAAACATGATACAAGATAATTTAACACGAAATGTAACTTTGAATACCTACTTCATCAATTATATAATATGCATTTTATTCAAAGAATTTTTTTATTTTGCTTAAATAAATATTTAAAGGAAAAAGATTATAATATTTTTTCTTTGATCTTTGAAATATTCAATAAATGGTAAATTAATAACTGTATAAAATAATATTATTCATTTGTGGTATATTATGCATTTAAAAAATAAATAATAATAAATAGGTACATAATATTTGTCGAATCGTTATATTCTAAAATGTCATCAAAATAGATAAATGGATAACTCTTCCGAGAAAGTTAAAAATTATAAAAAGTAATTTTTTTTCTTTTGTTGTTGAACTGTTGAAGTATACAATATCGGGGTTTTGTACAATACATATTCTTATCCTAAGATGCCCTGTCATAAACCAAATAGGTGAACTGTACAATAATACGTTTACTCACTTTTCAAAGTAAATTATTGGGTTATTCATTTTCGAGGATATTGTAAGGAAAAATTATGAACAGTCGGGAATAAAATCTTTCAATGTTTATTGTTTCTAAAATATTTCTAGGGAAAAAAAACCTATAGGAGTTTAATTTGATTTCAAATTACATTAAATTATGTATCAATTAACTAAATATAAGCATTCTGTTATATTTTAATATGTTGTTTATTTTATATCTAAACATACATTTTATTTAAATTCTTGGTTTGAATCGGAACTTGAATCAAAAATGTCGAACAATAAATACTTAGATAAATCTTAATACATATTATAGTTATTATAGTAATACTAAGATGTTTTATTTATTAATCAGATTTATGATATTTGCTGAGGAATACCTATGTTATATCTTTTCTAAAATAAATCTTTATTTATGGTATTAATAAAATGGCACTTTAAGTAAATGTAAGAAAATCTTAAGTAGGTAAGACTTCATAAATATGTAGAATTCCCTTTAATTATCTTTAACGGTATCTTATGATTATTGAAATTAGTATAAATTTATTTAATGAACATTTGCATCATAATTTATTTTTATACTTGTAAAATGTGGACATTAACAATTTTGATTATTTTGATGAGCAATTAAATTAATATTGGCTTGATGAGCCTATAAAATCATCAAACCAATCATACACATATTTACGTGGTCTGCAAAACCACATTGAAGGGCACTTAGGTACTCAAGTTAGTATACACACATTTTTTTAAATTTTAATGATTTTTTAAACTTTTGTAAGCTATACTAATATAAATTAGTTGATGTATTAATTAACAGATCATAAAATTTGAAATTTATCCAATGTCTTAGGTATCCAAAATGTATTGTACTTAAAATAATTTCACCCACGGTTTTCTCGAAAAATATTCATATCAATTTCGATATCCGAGGATTAGGCTTTGATAATGTTAAAAGAATATTAACTGACATACGTTTCTATATAACTGAGAATGATCAAGTATAATAAATACAAAATAGATAAACATTGTTCAGGTTGAACACGTCATAATCACGCGTTAAAATTACTGTCGAGTTTATCCGTAATCACTTTTACTAAATACTGACAGTTATAAAATCCTGTCTATAGTAATGGACAATAGCATCTCCTTCAATAATAATTTAAATGAATTCATAGATAATTTAATATTTTTTAAATACAAAGTAGTATTAGGTACATATTATTTAATTTACTTTATATCTATTTTTTGTGGTTAATATAGCGTTGAGTTATATTGATTTTTTTATATTCTAAATGGCGTGAGAATGTATTGGTTTTATACTTTTATAAAGATGTATCTTTTTTTGTTTGTAAAGTAGTATATTATCATTTTTTGAGGGCTCCAAAAGTTTCATATAGCTCTAAATTATATACATAGAAAAACAATTGATTATAAACAAGTGTTTAAAATTAAAATGACGGTTAAATATACCTACAATAATATTAATAATAATAAGAAGACGACGACTAAGTGATTATAATCTTTATTAAGTTGTATGTATAAGTTTATGATTTTTAAATATATACCGAAATTTGAGCCATTATAATTTAATTTCTAATTATATCGCTTTAAAATGTACACCACTAAATAAATTTAAATTCACGCTCCAAGGTGTATAAAATGTATAAATGAATAATAAACCATATTTCAGATATCAAATTTAAAATAGAATTGAGTTAAATAATGCACGTATCAGGGTAGCTTATAAAACATGAGATAATTTATTTTTAATTTCATCAGTGTTTAAGATAGGGTCACTGACCCTTGAGGGAGCTCCTCTTCAATCACATCACCTAGTCTATTAAATGTAAATGTCATACTTTTTTATCATTGTATATATTAATAATACATAGTGTTAATATATTTCATCAATAAAAAAAAAATAAAGAAAAATTAAGGTCTCACACGCCTATTATAACTTCTATATTATATCTTCTTCAATATTTTTCACAGTGAGTTATAATATTATTGTATACAAAAAAGTCAAGACAATATGAAATGAAGGTTTCATAATATGATATTTCTACAGTAATTTATATTGTATGCATGTTATAATTAAAATGTTTATTAATAACATACTTATTCGGGATTTTATAAGTTTATTTTAATTAAGTATTGTATTATAAATTCACTCATTATGTTAGTTTAATGGAGTTCATAGGTCAACTGAATAAGTAAACTTTGCTAATAACAAAATGCATCTACCTTGTGTGAAATTGGATTTATTATTTACGTTTTTATGTTCTACGTACTTGCGGTTTTGTCGTGTTGTGGTGTGTAAAACAACGATTCAATAACATAGGAATGACCAATGATGATTGATGATATCATTGTATTATAGCGTACGATCACATTACATTTTTGTCAAATACTGAATAAAATTGATAGCTATGGAATTATGAGATACGATCTGTGTATAGAGCAAGTTTCCTCTTGTTATTCTGGATATATGTAAAGTTAACACGGTTTGAATCGAAATTGCCAAAAACAGAACGTGACGTGCAGAACCTATGCCAACTTCCGAGCGTCTCATACATGATACGATGAAGTTCAATAGACGGGGGACGTTTCTTCACCAAGGAGATGAGGATGTTCAAAGCTGAAACTTATGCATGCTTTGAATAATATCGAGTGTATTATAATACATA